CATCGTTTCATCCGCGCTTTAAATCGCGTGCGGGCCGAGTCCACGTGCAGCATTTAAATATTCGTGTTCTACCACGGCCATAAACAGGCGCACCGATTTATCGATCGTCAACTGGCAGCGGTTGGCAGCAAGCCACGTTTACGGTTATTGTTTTTGCCGAAGGTAGACTGGTATCCGGCCTCACGCTCTGCTAGACAATGTACACGCTCTGCGACAAACAGTGCGGCGCGAACGCAGTCTAGCCAGAGGCACCGACGGCAATTACAGAAAGGCAAGGCAGGTCACTGCCGTCGGTCGGGATGGATTTTCAGGGGCAGTACGGCGATATTGATAGGGGCACGACGGCAATTGCCGTCGGTGCCGTCGGTTAATTCGAGCCCTGTAGTTCGCATAAACTAATCCGGGGTGCTACAACTAGCTTGGGATTGGGCCGTACTGGTACATGTCACAATGGTTTGTACACAATTTGTTATTGTACAAAACCACAGCCATACAAGAAAATGTTTTGAGCTCGCTATGTTCAGAATACACTAAAACCCCGAGAATCGTCAGTTTGCATCTATCATTCTGTTTTAAATTGTTTTATAATGCTCACAGAAGGAAGTTTGCTCTGCATAAAACATCCCAAGGTCCTGCTCCCTTCATCGTATAAAAATAATACTGCGTAAGCATTGGTTTTTACGATTGGTGTAAGCGAGTTTCGTAATTCATAAAATTGCACCACACTGTTGTCATTGACTGCATGGCAAATGGTCTAATGTAATGACTGAGTAGCCTAATGTAACAAAGTGTTTACATTGTTATATTCTACTTATTAGTTTTTTTACCTGTGCTGTCATGTTTCATATGAAGATTACGGTTCACATAGTTGGGTCTGTTCCTTTCTTAAAATTTATATTACATTATTTTGTTGAAAACTCACATTTACAAACTCCAACACAATAACCACAACCAACCATAAAAATAGATCCGAACGAGTAGAGGGCGCCTACGTCGACCGCGATTTGCTGTGACGTAATCGCTAGGCTCATTGACGTTGTACGGCAACGTGGTGGGAAAGAGAATTTGTGTTAGTTCTAATCTAAAGAGTGAAACTGTTCTATTTGGACGGAAATTTATCGACAAAATATTTTAGCGGATAATTACAGTATCAGACTATAAGTTTCTTACAGAACATCGTAGGCAAGTTTCTCAACACGGATAACAATGAGCGTAGATGCGTACGGACCAAGTTCCCAGACTTTGACTTTTCCTGGATACAGAAAGAGCGTCGAGTTGGATGGGTGCAGACACAGCAGGGTCCGAGTTTGATTTCACCGATTTTACACTTCCTTCTCAGACTCAACACAAGCTTCCTCAGGTTGACCAGGAGCAGAGTCTGGTACGCTAACGTTATTTATGTCAGGCTCGTGCATTTGAATGGCTGTTGATGCCTGGAATATGTTTTGATGAGGCATATGGCATGATATGCCATGGGGTCGTTGTGTATCCAGGCACAGGCACTTGGACCGTTTCAATAATAAAATGATGGTTATAAGCCTACAACTTTCAGTACTATACCTGGCAGTATCATAGTTGGATTTGACCTAATAACTTGACTTCAATACCGTCCAATACACCGCTGCAACACACATTCTATAGCCGCACACGCCATTGGCATGCACAAATACACAGTAGGATAGAGTGATAGTAGAATAGTAGATGGTACTAAGAGTGTAGTGATAGTAGAGGTAGTAGGATAGGAGAGGATAGAGGAGGAGTACACTCTATCCTACAGTGTATTGTGCACAATGGCTTGCGCGCTATAGGAATGTGGTGTGCAGCGGTGTATTGGACCACAGGCACTTGAAGCATTTCAACTGTAAACACACGCCGGCGCCATTCGCGCCACACTGACACATAAAATATAGAGCAGGTGTGAAAGCGGCGATCCCAAAAAATTCGCTCGACGCTCGCTGTATTCTTACGATTTCAACACAAATACACATCAAACAGCTTCCATCTTTGCTGCTAATTGAAGTACAGTGTTCACTTTGTTGTAGAAATATTGTCTCACTTCGAAAACGAGCTGTGTCACGCGAAATCACACAGAAGACTGTCGAAATTCTCCTCGCGTTCGCTAGCACTGCGCGCGTGATTGTAACAAGTTTAAGTACATGGCGGATGGCACCGCACGTCTTTGTGTGATTTCGCGTGACACAGCTCGTTTTCGAAGTGAGACGTAATATTTCTACAACAAGTGAACACTGTACTTCAATTAGCAGCAAAGATGGAAGCTGTTTGATGTGTATTTGTGTTGAAATCGTAAGAAATACAGCGAGCGTCGAGTGAATTTTTGGGATCGCGCTTTCACACCTGCTCTATATTTATGTGTCAGTGTGCGCGCAATGGCGCCGGCGTGTGTTTACAGTTGAAATGCTTCAAGTGCCTGTGTATTGGACGGTATTGAAGTGAAGTTATTAGGTCAAATCAAACTATGAATACTCTCAGGTCTAGTACTGACAAGTTGTAGGCTTATTAACCATCATTTTATTATTGAAACGGCCCAAGTGCCTGTGGTATCAGGTACTACAGATATGTACCCCGAGGTCGTTTTAGGTTGTTTAGTATTATGTATATATTTTTATATGAGGTATGTTTAGGGTTAGTGTTAGGGTTAGGGTACACTTCTGTAGTACAAGTCTGGTACCCTTTGTGTATACATATATGTACCTTGGGTACATATCTGTAACTAGTACTTGATACGACAACGATCCCCTTGAGCGTTAATGAGTTGTGTACCGTGTACTGCCTACGCAGTTTTAGCCATCTCGTTTTTATGTTAATTAGGCATATGTTGTGTTGGTAGGACTAGGGGTCGTAAAAATGGTGGTACGAAAAGAACGTGGGTAATTTTTAAGTGATAATAATGTAATGTCGTCAGTATGCCGGCACCGTCAGCGCCACAATTCCCTTCTTCAGCTTCAGAATGCATTGTCGGGGTATCAATACATTATACATACGTAGTTTACTTTACATTGTCACTGGGGTTGTTGTGGTTATCATAAAACATGGTGAGTCCGACATGATCCCCAAATTTAAATATGTTCCCGTCAGTTAAAATGTAGAACAATTTACTGTAGTGCATTCCTAATTATTTTAAGTTAACAATGGCAGTGTATCGAATATATCAGCCTGCCCAGGCTCTACGCCTGTTTGATGTCATAGGACACCACATGATGAGAAGCGAGAAGGTACACTGTGGCTAGGAATACATAAGACCATGTTGTAGTGCTATCACTTGTAGCTCCAAGAAACGGTATTGCTAGGGTTAGAATACCGTTTCAAATTCTTGCCCATAAATCCTTGTAGTCGGCTCGGTATCCAACCATCGACACAGCTAGCGTCACATGTAATAGCTCAACCGAATCTATAAACCTCTGGCTTGCTCACGGTAACTGGGCGCTACTTATTTATCGAGTTATGCCATTTTTCTGAGATGAATTGGATCAAAACAACCAGACAGCCGCCATGTCTGCCATGTTCAGCGCGACTAAAATCGGCAATGGACCTGGTTTTCACAGTGCGTAGGCCTAAACACAAGGCAAGTACATATCTTCGCAATGATAATTATTAAGTTGTTGTAGATTGATGTTTCTTGGTTTTCAATGTTTTAATATTTATATATATACGAGTATATGATGCTTATTTCTGCTCGCGCCAACGCAAGTTGCAATGCTATGGTATGTTATGTCGTTTCGAGATTTCCACGTGTCGTTCCAAAGCATGCGCACTCAGTGCTCGAAATAAGCGTCCGGTTGTCCGAGACAACCAGAATTTGCGCCGGACAACCTAACCAGTCTGAGACATTGTCCGGTGGACAACCAAGAAAAATCCGGATTTCGCATCATGGCGCGTCTGTATTCATGTCCGAACACATATAGATGGAGAAATTACTTGCCAGCTGCTTATTCGTATGAGTATAAACACAGCACATGGTATGTTCGCAACCCAACTCTCAAGGAAATTTCCAATAACATATAATTGACACCTCACATTATCTTGCTACATATTTTTAGAATAACGTTTTTTTTATATAGTAGTAGCATTCAAAAGTAGAAAGTAATATTGTTCGAAAGAATTGGCGCAGGAAATCTATACTCGGTGGCTGGCGTCCATATCGTTGAAATGACTATATAAGACCTACAATCTATTAAGCACGTTTCCCTTGATAACATATTTGCGCATATGAAAGAAGTACTATCAGAATGTTGTTTCTATGTCAAGAACCGGACTTTTAAACGTGCGCCGTCCACAAACATAATGTGTGATATAATTCAGAATGAAAAAAGAGCCCGATACTTTTTAGACTTGGAAATTGATGATCTGATTTTACGTCATTTCATTGACCCATAACTCACTCCTCTTTCCATCCTTTCCTCGTCTCCTCCTCCTCCTCCTCCTCCTCCCCTCCTCCTCCTCTTCCTCCTCCTCCTCCTCTTCCTCTCTCTCCTCCTCCCCTCCTCCTCCTCTCCGCTCACTCTCTCCTCCTCCTCCCTCCTCTCCTCCTCCTCCACGCCTCCTCCTCCTCCTCCTCCTCTCCTCCTCCTCTCTTCCTCCTCCCCTCTTCCTCTCCCATCCTCCTCACTCCTCACTCTCCCTCCTCCTCCTTTCCAACCTCCTATCCTCCCCTTCTCCCTACCTGCCATGCCTCCTCCTCCTCCTCCTCTCTCCTCCTCCTCCCTCCTTTAACGCGGCCCGTTGGCGTTGACTCACGGCGTCGCGCTGTACCCGCCCTCTCAAGAAGGCCGTGCACTAGGAGCTTAACCCATCTTGGGGAGCATGGGTGTTCCCGACCAAAAACAGGTTCATGGACCAGTTATTTGACCTTACCTTGACCTTGATCTATTTCATTGTCCCTCTATACTCGGCCCTAATTGACTTAGACGACAACTTCGTAATACTATAACATCAGTTGCGGGAGAACACGGGGGATACATGTAGTTGCGACAATGACACTTCTATTTTTATTTGAGATATAACGTAATTGTTCGGCATTTATTGTAGAGGTACAAGATTTTTCAATGATGGATGTCAGGCTGTATATTGGGCAGTCACACAGCCTGTCCGGGTAATATACTTGTAGCTCATAGACATGGCATTTGTTAACTAACTTTTTATATGATACTATTAGAAGGTAATGGTGAATTAACAGGTGAACTACCACCGTGAACAAACAGGGCTGGAATCTGAAATCAAAAGTGCAACCCAGCGGATTAACGAGCTGAACTTTGAGGAAGACTAGGACGATATACTGCCTGAAAGATCTGCCGGAATATGCCTGCAAGTAAGAACGAGTATCCATTCATTAGTGATGTCACGATCATCGATTAATACCTCGATCATACGTTTGAAAGTGGTTAAAACAAGCGACTTGCTATAAATCCATAATCGTTTCAATTTTTTTTTATTTATTTTTTTAACTGACAAGAAAACCTTGGAAAAAGTGAGAGAAATAGAGATATCAGCTACTATACAATTTCCTTTTTATAAATACATGTATATACAACACAGTATTAAACAGTGGACAAACAAACAGTAAACAGTGGCTAAACAACAATACATGCAACACCACGTACATGCCACGACGTTACGCACACGCAGGATTCAACACCGCCGAGTAACTGAATGATAACGATCAATCGTTACTTGGTCCAAACCGATGATCGATTTTAGCGAAATTACAAACGATTGACAACACATTCCAGCGAGACTACCAAATCTGTGCAAATGTCTATGATTATTGGAATCAATTAAAATATGTATAAATATTTAAAAAAAATAAAAAAAACAAGGTTAGCAGAAGGAAGTCCTTTTAGGGGTGTAATTTCGTTGCATAGATATCATATTTAATAGTAAGACTTTGCTATTTGTTATATTTGTTATATATTTAGGTTCTTACTGGCGTAAAAATTGCTCCATTTATGTTTTGTGAACATAGAACGCTAATAGTGGCTTCGAGAACGTCTATCAACAATTGTTTGATGACTCAGATACTGTGCTCCACGACCGAGCTCAGTGGTTAACGGTGCATTCAATGTAAGAAGGTTTGCAATAGGTTAGAAGGGAATCATCAGGGGACATGTCACATTAGTCTAA